ACGATGTACTTGTTGTTTTGTTTTATTCTTTACTTCAATGTTAATTAATATAATGTATTATGATTTATCAAATGAAGCGGACGCATCAAGTGAAACACATAGTGGTGCTTTATCAATTGGTCCTTTTTATATAGCACCGCAACAGGTATATATTGATTTTTATAGCGCAAAAAAAATAGACTACACTCACACCCCTATGCCTCTGAAATTTCTGATTAATGAAAGCATTTCATATATTTCAGATTGGAATTGGTATAATGGTCGAATTAATTACACTAATTCCAAGTCTCTTAATTGTTCAATTCTTTCGACGAATTCAACCTCGTCAACAAGTTTCACGATTACGTGAAGCATTATATAAGATACAATCATCTCGAAAAAGGTTCGTATATACTTCTAAATACATTCATCGATACTTACATTCTTATTTATAGTAGTTCGGAAGATATCCCTGCAATTAAGAAAAAGAAATCTTTAATAACATTTCCTTGGTGGTGTTTATTTATTGCTTATGGTCTTTCAATGATAATTATTGCTGTTTCAATATTTTTTATCATTGTTCGAGGAATTGAATTTGGTGATGTCAAAACTCAACAATGGTTAACATCTGTTCTTACTGGATTTTTTTCATCGGTTATTTTTACTCAACCTATTAAAGTATACTTTCTATTTACTTTTAATTTATATTTTTAAAATATATTTCATTGAAGATTATATGTTTGGCTATATTCTTTATATGTTTTTGTCGAAATTCAAAAGATGATAAAGAAACAAGTGAATATATAAATGAAGATGATGAATTTAATATATCTAATGATGAAGAGTATCTTCATTCGCTTGAGGTTTGTTTCCTTTTAGAATTTCATTGAAAAATAAATTTTCCATTTATAGTATCACTCAATATTTTCTTCTCAATCTCGAAAAAGTATTAATCGTCTTAATGAAAATGAAATTGTTTATGCTCGTGATCAACGTTTAAAAGAAATTCAAATGTGGGCAATGATTCGAGAATTTTTTATTTATTTTATATTTGCCATATTAGTTTTTATAATAACTTATTCAAATCGTGAACAAAATAGTTTTCTTCAAGTCAATCATTTACGAGCTTATCTTTTAAATCAAAGACAAACGACTGTTGATTATACTAAAGTTTGTTCTTCTTTTCTTGTATTGAAATGAATGTTGTTTTTTCTAGATCAATACAATCGATGAATATTGGTATTGGTTAGAAAATAGTTTTGTTTCAAATATTCGTGCACAACAATGGTATAATGGAGATATTCCACAATATTTAAACGGATTTTTAAATGATAAATCTAGTCGATTAATTGGTTGGGCAACAATAAGACAATTACGTATTAAATCAGAATTATGTCCTGATCAACGTGTTATTTCAATATGTGAAGATAGTTATGATTTTTTTAATGAAGAAACAAAGTTATTTCAACCAGGATGGACAACAAATGCAACGACCGAAGAATTCAGTTCATCAGTGATAAAAGCATTTAACTATTCTACGAGTGATGAATTAGATACATATTCGTATGTAGGTGAATTTGGAACATATAGTGGAGGTGGTTATGTCTATGAATTTCGTGGTCGTTTATCTGATATGAAAACAAATTTATCAAAACTTCATCAATTAGATTGGATTGATGAGAAAACAAGAGCTGTTTTTATTCAACTAACGTTATATAATCCAAGTGTTCAATTATTAACTGCAGTCACTTTACTTGCTGAATTTTCACCAACGGGTGGTGTTTATACAACAGCTCGTTTTGAACCAATTAATTTCTACAGTATGTCACTCTTTATCTTTCGTTTCTAAAGACAAATAAACTTTTGTTTTTTAAATTTAGCATTTCAATCAATATTACAATTAATTTGTACAATTTTCTACATATTTTTTATTATTTATTTTATGATCGTTGAAATTCGCTTAATATTTGAATTAAGACTAAAATATTTTCATCAATTTTGGTCAATAATTCAATTAGGTATCATTGGTTGTTCATTGGGAAGTATTGGAGTTTATTTTTGGCGTTTTCAAGAAGCTAATCGTATAAGTCAATTATTTGAACAAACAAATGGTTATGTTTATATTAATTTACAACTTGCAGTTTATGTTAATGATATTTTAACATTTCTTCTTGGTTATTGTTGTTTTTTTAGTATGATCAAATTTGTTCAATTATTTCGTTTTAATCAACGAGTATCTTTATTCACTGAAACATTAAAATACTGTGCAAAGGAACTGATTTCATTTTCAATAATGTTTGCAATTGTATTTATGTCATTTCTTAGTTTATTTTATTTATTATTCGTATCAAAGCTTTCGTCCTGTTCAAGTTTATTAGCAACTGCTCAAATGCTTTTTGAAATGACATTAATGAAATTTGATGCATCACAAATAATGGGAGCTGATGCTTTTCTTGGTCCATTCTGTTTTACTTTATTTATGCTTCTAGTTGTTTTTGTTTGTTTAAGTATGTTTTTTTCGATAATTATTGATAGTTTTCGTCATGCAAAACAGAATAAAAAAGCAGATCAAATTATGTTAACATTTATGCTCAAGAAATTTTTACGATGGACAGGTATGTAGATTTATGATTTATTCAGGTCAACTGTGATTTTATTCATGCCCTATAGCAGATATAATAGAATCTCAAGATTGTAATCTAGACCTCTTCGTATTAGATGACTCCAGAGCTTCTCTTGACGGTGTGGGTGGATGTGCAGAGTATGATTGAAGAAAAGACATTGACACACACTCTCAAGATTGATGTATCTCAGTAGAGGATAGCTGTCTATTAATATTTTAGGTCTGAAAAAATTAAATCAAGAAGAAATTCAAGAAGAACGAGACTGTCGAATGCGTTCACAATATATTAATCCAATCGAGACCTTTTCTGATAGAATTGATCAATTACTAGAAGCAGTTGATAAAGTATATTGAAATCTATTTTATTTTTTATCTGAAATTATCTTCTGTTTTTTTAGATTTATATTGATCAAAAAAGAGAATTAACAAGGCTGGACAAAGCTGGACTCTAAATATTATCTTTCGCAAATAACTTTTATTTTCTTATATTGAATTCTGAATCTATTTTCAATCTTTTTTTCGAAATAAATCTTTAAAACCGATCATATATTTAATGTCTGTGGAATAGAATTGTACGTTTTTTGTTCTCGAAGAAACGTGAATGCATCTTAAAATTTGCTCTTGCACATTTTCAAACGTATTGATGATTGAATATCTCACTTTTCTTCATTATCTGAAAGAGAGTGGGTGTGGATGTGTGTATTTCTCTCATTCATCACCCACACCCTTTTAAACCATCATCAATCAACCAAAAACAGGCATTAGAACTAGATGAATAGTCCTGCACTCAAATCCAATCAAATACAAAATCTTAGTTCGGTTGGTATAAGCCCTAATCCCAGCCCAGAAAACTCATGGTTTAACAGACCTATCATTATGAGATTGTCTCACAGATGTGTCAAACATGCTAGTCATCAACACAAATAAGTGAGAAAAAGAAGTTCATATTCGTGGAATGACTATTATATTGCTGGGATAGGATTCGACCTATATTTTACTTTATATATCGCATGCTGTTCCTTTTTTCTCATATTGTGTCGGAAAATATGAGAAAATCAGTCGCTCCTGTTATACATGTTGCTTTTATTCATTGAAGAGTTCATATATCTACCATATAGTTATATATTTTTGAAGATATCGGTTGTAAATAGATAATATCTTTTCGTTTTTGCTTACAAAATGGATTGCCTGAAAATTCCTTAACAGTATACTAAGTAAGCAAACAAAAAAAACACAGTTTACAAAATAATCATACTCTTCGACAACTTTTTACTGCTGTCTTATATAAATTTTTACACTCAGTCTGAATATATGTAATATAGAACGACTTTAATTGATCTCGATTTTCATAGATAAAATAAATAAATATAATTTTATATATATTTAATACAAAAGTTTCTCAATACTGATGAGATGAAAATCTTGTTTTTTGGGACAACAATTTTTCGAAATTTCTTAGAATACATCGATAATTTATGACAAAATTCACGTAATTTATCGTATATCACAGAAGATCTTACTTGATTTATTTTTTACTCTTTCTAAAAGATTTAATTGAACATTATTTTCATTTGTTTAACATAATTTTGGAAAATACACTATTTATGTATGTGCATAAAATTATTATAATGGTTCTTGGCAATTATATCAGAAACAGACAGCTAGACAAAGTTTATAGATATGTATGGGCGTATAACCCTTTCTTTCAGCAAAGGAAAGATTCTAAGTTTAATTTGAAAAACAAAGTATAACCTACGTCAGTTTGCTATCACGTGGGATGGTCGTGATCACTTCATGACTACTAGGCTATTTGGCCCTTGAGAAAAAAGAACGAGAAAAAAGCATGAATAAATATAATCGACGAAACATTAAAATATATGTAGGTGTAAAAAATGAGAGAGAGTTGTTTTACTTTTTTTGTCATTGAACTATTGATAGGTAAGCTATACATAAGTATGCGTAGGTTGATAGATATCTTGATTTATATATTTTTCGTCGAATTTCTTACATTTATGTTAATGTGCGTTGGCGAGAGATAGAATAAATGCATTAAATATGATGAGAAATTATCTTTTTTTCCTGCAATAAAGCGATAGAGAATACAAGACAGAAAGAATAAATTACCAGAGAGCATCACATTATATATTTTTTTTATGTCGTTAGACGATCATTGTCATATCTTTTATGTATGTTGCTAGTACATATGACATAACCGTTTCTTTATTTATCGCACTTGGAGAGATAGACGAAAAGAAAGAAAAATTGTGACTTAGATAATATTCACTCTTAAGAGTGTCAGATTCGTTTGAAAAAAACGTGTTTTTCTTTACAAACGAGTAAGTGATTTAAAAATATTTTTCAAGACAAAAAAAACAAAAAGATATTTTTAGTTTTGTAGATGAATATTAGTTATAATTCTTTGATTAAACAAGAAGATTTTATCAATGAAACAATAACTAAAAATGGACGTACATTTAATGAATATTTACATGATTCAAATTTAACTGTTACAAATATGATTAAAAAGGTTCAAATAATTATTTAATAATTTATTTTTATTTTGAAATTTTATTTTATCTAGTATGATATTTCAACATTAGAAAATAATCAAAATGAAAAGAAAAAATATGAAAAAAAAGATCTACGATGTACGGTATGTGGAGCCAGAGCGTTTGGATATAATTTTGACCAAATAACATGTGAAAGTTGTAAAGGTATAAATACAAATAGTAGAGAAAATTTGATATTTATTTTTATTTTTTAGCATTCTTTCGAAGGAATGCTCTGAAAAATATGGTATTTATATTCAATAATTTCATTTTTCATTTAATTATTCTTTTTTTATATTTAGAGTGAATTACATTGTCGAGCTGATGGAAATTGTAATATAACATTAGAAAATCGACGACATTGCACATATTGTCGTATTAAAAAATGTTTTTCTATAGGTATGTACGTCATAATAGAGTTAGTCTTGAAATAAAAAAAGTATGCAGTCAAATACTTTATGTAAATATAACATTTAGAAAGACCGTTGAAACTTAATAAAATATGTTCTTTCCTGGTAAATATTTTATATAATCTTTCTTTTAATTCTAGGTATGAGAAAAGAATGGATAAGAAGTGAAGAAGAAAAGAATATTAAACGAACTAAATTAGAAGTTCATAGAAAACTTAAACAATCATTACAGGTTAATTATTTTAATATCATATTCTGTTTTTAAATTACTTTTAAAATACAATCTAGATGCCAATTATGAAAAACCCAAATGATATCAATTTTAAAACAATATTAAGTTCAACGGATAGAATGCGACTGAATAATATAACACATTGCTATGATCAATACACTGGTGAACCGAGTATAAATGGATATTGTGCACCAAAAGAATTTCTTTTTTTAAATTTACATGATTTCTATAATCGAAAGAAACCGATCATAGTCAATTTCGTAAATTATTTTAAACATTTACCTGAATTTCAACAATTACATGTCGATGATCAAGTTTTATTAATTAAACGTAATTTACATTTTCTACTACCAATCAATTATGCCTTATTAAAAACACCAATTCATTCACAATTTCGTTATACAAAGGTTCAAACAATTGGTTGTGTCGATAATACAAATTTACACTCAATGTATCAAGTCTTATCGAATAATTTTGTTCCATTTGTTGCATCGGATGCACTTGTTATTAAACTATTAACAATAGCATTATTTTTTACAACCAATTCACAAGCAATAGATATTGATACAACGGAATATAAACAATTAGAATATATCAAACGAGTTCAATCGAGTTATATCGAATTATTATGGTTATATATGTACGGAAAATATGGTGAAGTAAAAGCTATAAAGTTATTTACAAAAATTATAACTAAAGTTTTACATTTACAATTTATAATGGATCGAATTGATACAGTCATACGTTTAAATAATGATATACAATATCTAGATTCACTTATGAAAACTATTTTACAATTGACTTGAAGATGATATTAGTTTCTGTTTATTGTACAATCTCATATCTGTTATATAGTTTTGATTTTAGGAATAAAGTTATAAAAGGTTCGATATTTTATCTTCGATATTCTCAAGATAAATGTGTATCTTTTTAAGAAATAATTTATGTTATATTTATAGAAAAATGAATTGAATTTTAGAGCAGGCTGTTTCTGTAATAAAAAAATAGTGTAATGAAAGGTTCAAACAGTCTACAGGCAAAGCCTGGCTAATAGATATCTTATCATTTATTTATACTTTCTCAACATAGACGATAATAATTAGTTTTGCCTGCAATAATATCTGACGGCATTAATCTGTTATTAAAGAATCTTTATTTAAAATTCACCCACCGTTCTCGTTAGGAAAACTCGAAATTTTATTATATGAATACATTATCTAATTCTTTGTCTATTCTAATAGATATAATAATAATTGTATTTTAGATCAAGTCTTTAATACTTACGGCTAAGAAAAAGCTCTGAGGGCTTCAAATAAAAATATAATAAGAAAAGAGATACTTCTACAAACTTCCATCATTTCTAATAGTTCATCAAAAGTTGTTTTGAACTAACGAATAAGATTCTCATACATATACTTAGTGTATTAATTGTTGATCAATTGAGTAAATTATAGTGTTTATAATGTACCGATTGATCAAACAACTCTTTCAATTAATAATAGCTATAAATTCGTATATTAAGTATAAAAATAAGATCATTGAAAATAAATACTAATTACGAGATCTCGTTTCAAAGTCCAATAATAATATTACGAGTAACAACAGAAATGATGAAGAATCTTTAAGGTTTGTAAAATAATATATGACGATGATCATTCTTTACTTTATGTGAAGTATCATAAAGTATACGAATAGGTAAATTAATGAGAATATTTATATATAGATAAGTATAAAAGTTTTAATTCATTAATAAATTTCATATAATATCTATAATGGAATTATTTTATTAGATAGAAAAGCTAAAAATAAGTATTTCAATAAATAAAATTATGAGTCAGTTATTAAATGCATGCAAGTCTTCTTCAAATAGACATCTATGATAAAATAATTGTCCTTTGTACAAGATGTCTGATTCTCAGCAATATAGTTTTACAATTTTCGATTATCTGTATTTTCTATGTACATTTCATCAATGAAAAAAGATAAGTTGAAGGTTATAGATTAGTTTATGGTCTGATCGTAATACAGATTTCGACAAATTAAATGCGTAATAATTATCGCACCATATTCATTTCACTATTTTGAAATATATATAAACCAATAATCACATTTATTAACCTCACATTATTATACTTAATATGATGCAAACACTTTCAGTAGTTGTAATTGTAACTTTAGCTATTATTGCTAATATCAATGGTGATCATGACAAATTAGAATACACAGTACTATCAGCATCCGGTGTTGATATTCAACATGCTGATATTATACCAATGCCAATTATTAATCCAGGAGAAGCTTTTCTTACATTTAAAGCTCATCTTAAACGACCCATTCGTAAGTTTATTTTTTTTGAAATAAAATCTCATTATTTCTTGTCTTTTTTTTTCTTAATTAGAAAAAATTCGAGTAGTTCTCAAGATTGTTCGTACAGTTGCTGGTATTGCACTTCCAATTAAATGCTACAAAGTCGATGGTGTATTTGTTGGTTCATGTGATTACGAAGACTTATGTCTTGTACTCAAAAGTTTATTACCATCATTTAAACCTGAGACCTGTCCTTCTCCTATGCTTCAATATAATATTGATTGTAATTGTCCATTTAATATTCCTGTTGGACAATTAGATATTATAAAAGAAAGACTAGAATTACCTGATGCACACGCAAGTATCGCTAATTTCATGGCTGTAGGAACCTTTTCTATTCAAATCGATGCATTTGATTCTGGACCTTATGCTTCAATTATCATAAAATTCACTGTTAAAGCAGCGAAATCATCTGGTTAAAATAAAATTTCTGGTAATATTTCTACATCTATAAAAATTGCGTAGGTAAAAAACAATGATTATTTAACTAAGAGAATTCATTCGTAGACAATATCATATATGCATTAATTAAAATAAAACATAACACATAGTCTATTTTCTTTTGTTTACAAAACCATATTATGCATACTCAATATTTGATAATGTCTATCGAATAGTTTCTGTTAGATGAAATAAAGACAATCAAGTGTCAAAAGACTCATTGCTTCATTATGAATCATTGATTTCTGTTCTATAATATACATAGAAGAAAGAATGTATGGCAAGTATAACGAGACGATGATTAAACAATATAAGTATACATATTTTTTAGACAAAATTTTTCCAGCCATTAAACAGATCATGTATTTTTACATAAGAGTTCTACATACTTTTTTTTTCGCTGTAAAAATAATGATAAGGCTTATATTCAATTAGGAATTAAATTCAAAACACTTGTAGTGATGCTACATATAGAAATAAAGTCATTCAGACAGCAATAACGAAAATGACAATCAGTTTATCGTGAGAGAAGATATATGTGAAGTGAAACCTTTCATGATACAAATCACATCAAATATTATATTTACTAAATAGGTGTCAACGACAAGGTCTTTCTAGATATTGAAGCACAGATGTTAAATGAAATATTTTCTTTTAATTTCCGATAAGTTCATAGAAATGAAAGTATATTTGTCATTTCTATTATAATCGGTATAATTTTGTCTATCGTTTTATCACAGAATTGGAATCATTGGATGAACAAAAATAAGAGACAGACAGAAGGAGAGAAAAGTGAACAAGTCAAAAAAAAGAAGAGAATAGAGAGAAAGCGTATATATATGGAATTTTATTCATTCATTATCTTTTATTGAATATATTTTTTTCTAAAGGAAATTATTCTCGATAATTTCATCAATAATATCTGAAAAAGTAAGTGAACATTGAAAAAAAGGGCATTTTGTAAAGATCAAAGAGAATTTGCCCTGTAGACAAAACTTAATTCGTTTTCCTTGATTATATATATACATATATATTATCAATATCATCCATATGTATGTCTGTTGACCGATAGTTTATCATTCCCGCTGTGTTCAATTTCCTTATTCTGTATTCATTTAATTTTGAGAAATTGGATGACTAAGAAGCATGGGGATGTAGCTCACTTGGTAGAGCGCTCGCTTTGCATGCGAGAGGCACCGGGATCGATGCCCGGCATCTCCAGTCATTATATCTTTTTTTTCTTCCTTCATTTCTGATTATATATGCACGCGTATAGAGGGAAGACATTTTCTTTTTATTATTAAATTTGATCTTATGCTGAACAATGGAATCAAATAGAACAAAAGAGAATAAAAACTCAATGTTCAATTGAGTCACCTTGCCATAAAGATTAGTTTTCAAATTTTTATACTCTTTTAGTTACTCGAATTCTTCTCTTTGCTTTATTGATCGAAACTAGTTTCATTTATTATAACTTAAAAGAGAAAATTTGAGAGACACTTGCATATGTTAATGAAGACGAGTTACGTTATTATTCTTTTCAAACAACGAAAACATAACAACGGGATTAAGTTTGTATCGTAATAATTAACATTTTGCTACCTTGAATTAAGTATCATATACTTCGTATGTGTATATATACATATTGAATATAAAATGTAGTGAATAGATATTTATCAATCAATATATGATAGAGTTGAACTCTGTCAAATATTATAAACAATCGATGCATCACTATGCTTTAGTATCTCTTTTCTTTTTTTTTCAAAAGAAAGATAGTGATAATGCTGATTGAGATAGACATTACAACGTCTGTTCGTTGAGTAATGATGAAGCCAGTGAAATATTGTAAGTGTAGACTTTAAACAAGAGATAGTTTTATTGACAATGTCTATCATATTCATTTCGTTATTTTTAAAAAAATTTATTTTTGAATCGATCATAATAATTTTCATTTTTTTTCAGGTTAACTATGTTAGCTAATCTTTTGATTATTCTTTATTTATTCCAACATCATGCCGTTGCATCGAATATATTTTCTCAACAAGAATATGGCATACGTATGATTTTATTCATTATATAGAAATAAAGTTTATGATTCTATTTTAAGGATTTAAACAAGCAATTACAGATGCTATTAAAAAAATTGATAATATTGCAATGAGTAAATATCTGTTTTTTTTTTGTTTGAAGTGAATAATATTTCTTTTTCTGTCTAGGTTGTCCGTTGGGAAGTTTTTTTTATAATGGTTCTTGTTATTTTTATTTACCACCAAAACAAATGATTAATATGAAAGGAATTCGATTTGATGATGTATCTGCTAGTGAAGGTAAAAGTCATATTTTTTTATGATGTTGATGATGCATGTGATTGAAAGTGTCGAGTAATCTAAAGTTTAAGCAATAGTTTACTTTGATAATATTTTTAGCTGCTTCTCATTGTCGTTTGTTACATTCTCAATTATGGGATATTGAAACAATCGATGAATTTGCTTTTGTACTCGATCAAATTTATACTCAAACTCAATCATTTGATAGTCCTCGAATTGCTATTAATTTTACTCAAGGCAGAAATTGTAAGTCATAATAAATCTTTTTTCAAATTAATAATATGATAAATATTATCTCTTAGTATTAAAATTACGAAAAAAATATTCTGGAGAACAATATGTATTCATAAGTAATACTAATGAATATTCATTAATTTATAAACCATTATATGATTTACCATCAAAAGATCTTTCGTTAATTATTGATATAAGTAAAGCAACAAAACGTATTTATTTAGAAGAAAAATTTCGTTTAGAACGACGTAGTGATCATTATATATGTAAAATGAGTAAGTTATTTTTTTGTATTATACAAAAAAAATAACACATTTTTTAATCATAGAAATTAACAGTTGTTATAATAATACACATTGCGGTCAACATGGACAATGTCAAAATTTAGTTGTTAAATATAAATGTATTTGTAATTTTATGTATACTGGGGAGCACTGTCAGACATGTAAGTCAAATATAGATCAATTTTTTTTATTCGAATGATATTTGAGTTATTGTTACCGGTATATTGATTTATCAATCTGAATATATTCATATTTCTAACTTATGAACGAAACATGAACATGATCAGAATATAAAAAAAGATTCAACTAGTTGTTTGAATTCAATAATAAAATTTCATAATGTAACAAGTAACGCTCGTCCGAGGACTCGCTTAGCTCTTTCTCGTAAAAATGCATCCTCCTCACATTTACTGGAAAACAGGTTTTTGATGTTTTTCTGACCTATGCACCCTCTTTACTCTCCCCCTTCATCATGATCACCCAACAGACCTCAGATTCGAAGTCTCTGCATCGAGAAACCTTTAAAAATGTCTTTTCTCGAAAATCGGTCTTCGATGTTTTTTTGACCTTGCGGACACACAAGCAATCAATTAGACGAGACTCGAATTAGTAGCGTCAAATACAAGTACATTTCGAATCTCTGCCATTCTTTAAAATCGAGTGAGTAGTTAACGAATAAAGAGACACGATGTATATCTCTTTTGAAGTAACATAGACAGTGAATCTTAATTCTTTGAGTTTTGTTTTTACGTTAAAATGTATAAATAAATATAATAATATCCTGTAGATTTCATTCGAATTTTTTTCCGTGTAAAAGATGTTAGACAAATTATCAAATAATAAATTTCAATCAAATCGATCTTTACTATCATTTAATAAACAAATAATTCATATTTTATCTTGATAAAGATATCATAGAATAATAATAATAATAGTCTGAAAGATATTCGTTTGACATAAACATCGGCATTCCTTTATACATTATAAATGAAACTGTTTTTCGTAATGAAAGAAAAACAATCGACGATTTTGTCGAATATAGAACTATGAACTATACATCTTATGCTATGATCATCGTATTAAAAGTCTTGATGGACTTGAATAAACTTTTAATCTTGATTCGTGTTTTTTACATTTAAAATAAAATGAGTAAACAATGATCACTTTGATGTACCACCATGTGTATATATTTAAAACCGAATAGAGTGTGATAAACGATGTTTTATATACAGCAAGAAAAAAAGAAGCGAACATCTGTCCTATTTTATCATTTCAATCCGCAATTCATACGGACAAGTACAGTCTAATCAATATATATTGATCATGATTGAAAAACAAGGAAGAAGTCATCTGTTCAATTGAGAGGAATGAATTAATACAAAGTATTGTATGATGTTTATCTTTGATAAGAATGAAATAAACTTCTTCTTTCTTTTTTCTTGTTTTGTCAAACATACAAAATGAGAGGGGAGTGGTTAATCGAGATGACAATGAATAACGTCATCCATTATTCAAAAAGGATAATAATGGATTGTCTATAATATAGAGAGTATCATTATTAATGTTGATCTTTTTTTTTTGAGTTTGACAAATTGAAAAAAAATGATTCACGGATGTGTCTAATAGTTTATCTTTATACATTCTAGTGAGTAGTCGTGGTATTCAATCGATTATTGGCGTTATTTTTATTTGTTTGGCAAGTTTATTATTTATATATCTTTCAATTTCTCATTTATTATGTCGACGAAAAACTAAAATAAAGTAAGTTAAAATAAAAAAGTTTATTTCAAATTAATCTTCATTATTTCTTTGTTCTATCCGCAAATGTCTGTCTCATCCATTTGTAAATATTAATTTAATGCGTTTTATTTCTTTGATGACAAAATATAACTATATATTTTATCAAATTAAATCTCACCTATATATGAAAAAAAGTAGAACAAGTAGCATAGTTGATTTTATAGAAAAAAAAATAAACTTAAAAAAAAGAGTATACTTTCATGTTTGCGAGGCTCAATAATGATGGATTACATTATAGTATCTCCAATTAGAATAGGGCGGCGAGACACATTGAGAGTAGATGATATCATTATTTTCGAATTTACAACACCATCATATATACATACAAGACGATGACAAACTGCAATGAAACAGAAATTGCTTGCATCATTTTCATCGACTATCTGTTGATCAAGATTCGATGAGAAAAGATGCACATATATGGTTGTGTATGCGCATACGACTGGTATATATATTATACAACTGTTTCATTCGAATACGGACGCGGCTCGACGATGATAAATGCGATCACGCACATAGATGAGTGTACCATATGTCTATGTATATATATATGTATATCTTTCATGAGCATCTGTTGAAAGAAAAATTTCAAAAATCTTATGTAACTTTTACATATCTTTCATTTTCTCTTTCTCCATATTATTGAAAGAAAAGAAGAGGAGAGAAAGCGAAAGAAAAAAAACTTTGTCGTTTGAAATTGACATGAAAAAATATGAAGCGTGAACTTCGAAAATCATTCATTTCCTTTTTGTAGAACATCAATGAAGACAAGCAATTCTCCTTGTCTTTCACGAGAAGATTTCTATTCAATACCAAATTTATCTTCTGATCAATTACTTAAACAAAATGATTTAACAATATCATCTCCTCATATAATTGTTGATCTTCGTCGTTCATCAATTCAATCTTCATCATCCTCAACAGTTATTTTTTTTCGTCATAATTATTTTTTTTATCTTTGGCGTTTATTAATCGGTTTAACAACAATTTTATTTGCAACATTTTGTTGTTATACAATTTATGAATTTAAAATCGAAAATTTAAAAACAAAAAATTTAACAACTGATCAAATAACAACATCGAAAATATGTAAATTATTTCAAATTAATTTTAATTTATATTATAAAGTTCCTGTTAATTATATTTCATTAATTATTCTATTTCTTTTAATAATAATATTAATTTTATTTGAAAATATAACAAAACAAAAATTTAAATCATGTTGTTATCATTTTACAATTCCAATGATATTTAATTCTCATTCACATATATATCGATTTGAATCTGCAGCTGTTTTTGGTATAATATCATTAGAAATTCTACATATATTTGATGAATTTATTATTAATGGAACGAAACATTTTCAAAATGGACCATTAATTGATTTAATTTTACAATTTGGTATTGGTTTAATGTTAGGTTTAAGATATTTTCCAATATTATCAATATTTGAACAGGAAAATAATTATGAAAATCGTTTAGCAAATATAATTTGTTATGCATTAGCAACAGTTTATTTATATTGTGAAATTATATTTAAATTACAATCAGATATTAATTGTCAAATCGATAAAAATAAAGTATCAATGATTAAAGAAATATATGAAAAATTTAATAAAATGGGAGTTGATATTAAACAATATTTAATGCTACAATTAGGTATGTTATTTCAATATAGAGTATCCACAGTAATCAGAAAACAGTTGATCCAGTTAAGTGACCTCCAAATTTGTAGTTTACAGGTTTCAAGTTTTTCCGCAAATTGTAGTTTGTAACTGTAGGCCTTTTTTCTTGAGCATCACCAGTCGACTTCGTACAGTCCAGAGTATCTATTAGAGCAATTAGAAACAGATGATTACAGTTTTCGCGAAAACTTAGACTTTCGTAAACTCCAGATTTGGAGCACACTTAACTTGACCAAAAAAGTTGTAGAAGGGAGGGGGGGTTCAACCCCCTGATCTTTATTGTTTTTGACAAAAAAATTTTACATGTTTTCTTTTGAATATGTCTATGATTAATGAGCTGATTTGATGTCTGACAGTATACGAGTATGATCATAAATCTATGATAGTATTACATAGCATTTAACATCCTTTTTGTTTTTTATCTTCCAGTTAGAACAATCATCAAAATAAACTAGGATTGAATTTTATGCTTATTATGAATATATGTACGTGAAATGAGTGTAACAAATCATAATAAAGTCATAACAATTGCATAGAAATACTAGATATTTTTTCTTTTTGAACAAATCATTGAATTTTTCTTATTAAGATACTAATCAAACACATCAATTAAATGAAACTTATCAAAATACTCAATTATGGTTTAATGAACAGATTGAAAAACATTTAAGTAATTCAACCTATGATGATAAAAATGAAATTGAAAATGATATAACACGTTTAAATTATTCATTAGAATTAAATAAACAGAGTATATTTTATAATACATTAAGATATGCCCCTTATTATTATTTTATTTCATTTCTGGCTATTCGTTTAACGCTTATGTTTTTAAATACATTTCGTAATACCATAAATAAAAACTCCGATTCATATCAATCATCACCACGTTGGAAATATGTTAAATATAATTTATTAAAAACCCCAGAAATTTATTGTAAAATTAATTCAAATGAATATTCACGTTTATTTCGTTTTTTTAATTCAATTATACTCTTTTTTAAACAAAATATCTATTCAATACGTCCATATTTTCGTTATTCAAAATTAATTATATGTATATATACAAGTGCAATTACACTTATCTATTATTTTACATTTTGGATACAAGATCATACATATATCTTAACAAAAAAATTATTATTATTTCTTAATTTAATTCTATGTGCTCTAGCTGATTTATCAAAAGATTTATGTTATAATTTAAATTTTAATCATATTAATCGTGATATTAAATATATTTGTTTATTAACAGCATTTATAACATGTGTACAATTATTTCTTGGTTTAAAACATTATCAAATACAAATGTGTAATGCTTATCGTGGGATATTTAATGATATTCCAACAGCGAAACATATTTCAGCAATTACAATTGTTAGTAAATCAATGCATTATCCAGGACGTTTTATGGGTATGTAAAAGAAATCGAAAGATCATTGAACAAATTTTCATACAGAATAGAAAGAGGTCAAAAGGACATTTTAAACGTGTTTACATAATAATAGGTAAAAGGAGCTATTAAAGATATACATTTTTATTTAGCAAAACGTGTTTTGTTACTATTATAAGTATTTATGAGTAAGAAACGCTCATTTCTAAATATTAATAGGACAGCTGTATTATAGTTATTTACAAGGTAGATCCAGGGGCGCGTGGGGTGTTACGCCCCCCCTGCTTTGGAAAAGTTTTGTTCGATAAAACAAGGGTTTTTGCGTGTTAGATTTAAGCAAAAAGGGTGTTACATCTCCCCCTGCTTTTAGAACTTGAGGTACTAAGATTCAACGCCCCCCTGCCTTGAAGACAGCGCTACACCCCCAGGGTAGATCTTTATCAAATTTTTGATTCTCTTATGTATACCTTTCTACCGAACGATTTCTCTATGCTGTTCATGAAAAACGATGTCTATGTAGAATTTTGCATCAATTAATCCTTTCAGAACCGTGGTACAACATATGTACCACCTACCCTGGAGGGGGGTCCAGGCTTTTTTTGAGTCGCGGTTAAAAAGATAGTTTAAGAATAATACACTGATCGTGAAAGTAAAACTAGTCTTGAAAGGGTTAATCTAGCCCGTTTGAATTCCTTCTATCTTTAGTCAGATTATATTACAATACAAATTTTTTCATTTGTTTTAGGTTCATTAGTTTACAGTTATGGTTTTCTATTTTTATTTGTTTCAATAATTTATATTTTATCTCGTTATGTTCTTTATTCAATAATTATTCTTGAATTTGTTGCTAAACTTTTCTTACCAATGATAGTATTTTTATTATTTCAATTATTATTCGTACGTCTTTTATGTAAATTATTATTTGTAGAAAAAACTCATTTTCTTGCATTACGTAATCTTCGTCTTTATTATACATTTTCATATTTTAGTTTTTTCTTTGATTGTTTTTTGGGTTTTTTAATGTGTTTAACACGTATAACAAAAGCATTTGTATGTTCAGTAGTTTTTTTTGCACGATTGGATTATTCACCGTATGGACGAGGTTTAGAAATGTATGATTCATCTTATGCGTCATATGTAAGTTATTTTCATATTGAAAAAAATCAACGACATCCTGTTTTAAATGTTTTTATCGATATTATTCGACAACGTCTTATTGAAATAAGAAAATTAAAATATAAATTATCTGTTGGAACGATTTGTCAAACATATGAACAAGATAGATTATCTCAAAAACAACGTTTTCGTTGGGCATTAGCATATACATTAATTAAAAATGAACAATTGAAACGTTATAGAAAACATCGATTGGATTCAAATAAAACAATACAATCAAAAACATTAGGAAAAATATTCGATAAAATTGGTTTAACACAAACATTAACAAGAAAATATTAGACATTAGTGTACACAGTAGATATGCAGTTTCTTTTTTAAATACCGGTGCAACTCTCTTGTTTGTTTGTTTTTTTTGTTGTTGTTGTTTAGAATTGTATTATAAAAATAAATTATTATAGAGAACATAGAAAAATCAATGATTTTAAATGAAATCTTATGCAATTCATCGATATGATTACATCAGAAAAATTTATTAATATATATGTTCAATCCTTGACAAACTGTTTGTCCTCGTTTAACTTCCTTGACCATTCTTCTTACGTGAAACTAGCCGTTGGCTATCTATAAATGACCTTTCATTTTTTTTTAATATTGTCAATAAGGACATTTGTATAATCATTTGTCTTTTCTTTTCATATAACTCTTTTGAAAGAAAGAGTGATGATATATGTGTTATGCTTGATTGATTTTTTCTCTCTCTCTCTCTCGCTCTTACGTTGAGTATATGAGTTCAGAATGGGTTACTCATATTTGTTAATATTATATAATTGAAATCATATGTAAAAATCGAATAGCGAAAACTTACATCATATTATATTATGTATTATTTCAATAGTATTTTATTTTCAACACACCATTAATTTTGAAATTTCATGAAACTAATTTTAAATTATCTACATAACAATAATTTAAGTTAATTGTTGAAAGAAAACAAAATTTCAACTCTATTTGCCATCTATATATCGAATAAATTTGATTCTGTTAGAAAACAAGAAAATATTATGTTTATGTACTTAATAAATATATATGTTGATTATGTTCATCAATCAAAATGGCTTGTTCGATGAATATTTTTACATTCAATATTTAGAAAATTATTCTGTATTTACAGACCATTGTTAATTAAACAAATATTATTATTGAAGGACGAGATTGTTCAAATGATGATGCATATTTTATATATAAATAGAATCAGGAAATATAACGAATTTTTTTTAGCTTAAACAATTGTTTGTAAATTATTCAAAGCATTAGAATTTTTTTTAAGTGATGAAAAAGAAAATCTAATTATCTATTTTTTCTTACTGATATAATTACATCAAATTCTTTAAATCATTATAAACTAATCGCTCAATATAGTGATAAAAGAAGCTTTTTTTTTAAAAATAACTAATCGCAATATAATTGACTTTTATTATGAACAAAAGGATTTCCGAAATAGTTTATATGACATAGAATAGAAATATTAGTTTTTACTAAGTGACAATATGCATCAAGGAAGTCGAAACAATGAATTGTTTATCTAAATTCTTTTATAATTAAAGCTTATTTTATTTCGATTTGAATTCTTTATTTTTATAACTAATTATAAAATAACAGAACTATATAAGTTATACAAAGATTATTACTAAAAAAAAATATAAATCTTTAATATTAATTGTTATTTCATAATCATGACATTGACATCTACGTGAGAAATTCGGATAAAAATAGAACTAAATTACCTGGTCTTTTTTATTAAATATTCTCTCAACAAGGTCACAAATAATTCAGTAGACTACTTGTATATTTTTGTTTTAATGTTATCTAAACTCATTTTACCAATCAAAAAATATACATTTATGATTTTAATATTTCAAAATAAAATAATCCTCTTTTTTTTTCATTTCATATGTCATTCTGACAAGGCAACAAAAATCTGTTAATCAAATATTAATATTGTTATTTTTTTCTTTTTTTTCAAAACAAGAAGAAGAAAAAAAAATCTATTAATCAATTCGCAGTTTAAATATACGAACTTTTTGTACTATTACTTATATAATTATTCAATATTAAATAGAATCCTTGTACCTGTCATAATGTTAAATATAAATCTAGACGATTCATTCATGGATAAGGATATTTATAGAAAAAGAAAAAAAACATAGAGGTTTACTTTTGATAAAAATGGTTACATTCTCTCATAACAGAAACTTGTTAATCAAATTCCATTTGTTTTAACACTTAGGGTTAATTACATACCGTTTGTAATAAAATATTAAATACGTTCATCTTTTTTTTTACTTTGTGCATATAGATTACTAAATAGATTTTTTTTGAATGATCAAAGAAACAAAAATACGCACCCACAACAGTACATGCAAGTAAACAAATAATAAAGTTTTTTTTCTCGTTCCTTTTTTTTCGCGTGCAGTTCTATTTTGTTTTTTTCTTTGAGTTGAGTCAAGTCCGCGTTCGTATTTTTGTGTAATACTACTTCACCTACTATTAACTTGGTGTAGTTACAACAACGATATTCTTGGAGACACACAAAAAAAACAGAGGCTCATACCCCTATATAAAGGAAAGGAATTACTGTTAAAAATCAGTACATAGTTTATACATTGCTACAGCTATCGTCGTCAACATTCGCAAGCATTATTTTAAATCAATATTATTAATAAAGGTATGTGAATATGATTGCTAGGTTGTATAGATAAACATGTTACTAAAAATAATAGCAAGTCTATTACGTTTTTTTAAATCCATCTTATATTTTTCAATAAATATGCGTTTTTTTTCTTCTTGAGTAAGCTCAACTTAGTTTTTTTTTAGTTTTAATAAGTCGATAGATAACTCTTCTTGAAATAGTTATATACAAACATCAAGTGAATGTCAATTTTTCTATTGTTATTTATTAATATCAGTATCAGACGCATGTTTATACATTTGTCGCTCTGTGGTCTCTATCACTGATCTTAATGAGACCAGAAAAAAATTATTCTTATAAGTCGATGAAAGCTTTGTTGTTTATATAAGTATTGTACTTTTCTTTTTCTTCTTCGTCCATTGATTGCGTAGAAACTGATTAATTGTAAGTCCACTTCTCAATTTGTTCTCAACAACAAAAAAAATATATTCAAATTAAATCATCATCTAGAGACATCGACAAAGTATACAACAACAACAACAGTAGCAATCTAGTTAAGAGAGACGTTTATTTATGTTACGGTTAATCAGGATGAATTGCTATGCAGTCGTATCCTAACATACAGCACATAAAGAGAGGAGAAGAAAGAAAAAAGGAGTAGTTGATGGAAGGAGAAAATCAGAAGAAGTAGACAGACAGAGAGAGAGAGAGAGAGAGAGAGAGAGAGAGAGAGAGAGAGAGAGA